CAGCAGGAAACAAAAAGACTGACCTTCAGAATCAAGAGATGAGTGCTCCAAGGAATTACTTTCTTCCTGCTAGCTAGTTCTCCTAAACCAGATGACTGCCCTCACAGATAAGATGTATTAGTAGAACAAGTTAGCTTATAAACTGAGTGTTATTTAAAATAACATGTTTTACCTTGCAGTAAAGCAGTAAAGGAATACACATGTATTCAACTATGATGCTCCAGACACAGGGAAACGAACTCTCAGAGAGGCATAAACCATTAGAAGTGAATTTCTGAAACTGTTTAAAAGAGGCATCTGCTTTATGCTGTCTGGAATAAGCACAATGATAGCCTATGGATGGAGAACCAGCTTTCAAAGCTAGACAAATTGTCTGAGCATGAGCATGCGGGGCACACACATAATGGGAAAGGAATATACTCACTTGAGTAAGAATCTGCAACTACTCTGGCCAGATCACAATAAAGAGTTGCTATGTAAAATTGACAGAACACTTTTAATAGTTTGCATGGACTATTAGTTCAGACTACTACTTACATAAAAACATTAATGCTGTCAGTGTTCTTCTTGCTACAACTATTATTAGTAGCAATGGAAAATTTCTGGAGAGAAGCTAGTAGAGATATAGCCTATACTAGCTCTTGACAACATAGAAGACAGCCCTGAAAACCATGTTGGTAATCAATAAAAATATTAAGCAAACCACCTCTGACATGCTGTTATTATAACCTATATGCAGAAATACATTGCTTAGAAAAATACCACAACGAAAGTACTGCCATAGCATAAAGTATGTGGGTGTATATATATGTATATATATACACACACACATATAAATTTCAATTTCTGGGACTTAAGTGGGAAGTGACAGAATTTGTTAGCATATCTTTAAATTATAAAAAAAATCTCTAACAATAACTAGTGGCTCATGGCTTAGACAGCAATACCCTTTGCTGGATAAAAAACTGGCTGGACAGCCAAGCACACAGAGTCATGGTGAATGGAGTTAAGTCCAGGTGGTGGCCAGTCACCAGTGGTGTTCCCCAGGGATCAGTTTTGGGGCCTGTCCTGTTTAACATCTTTATCAATGACCTAGATGAGGGGATTGAGTGCTCCCTCAGTAAGTTTGCTGATGATTCCAAATTGAGCGGGTGTGTTGATCTCCTTGAGGGTAGGAAGCCTTTACAGAGGGATCTGGACAGGCTGGACCGATGGGCTGAGGCCAATTTTATTAAGGTCAATAAAGCCAAGTGGTGCTTAGGGACATGGTTTAGTGGGTTAGGTGGTGTTGCATTGACAGTTGGACTTGATGATCCTTGTGGTCTTTTCCAACCTTAATGATTCTATAAACTAGGATCTTTCCTAGATACAACTCATATCAATACCAACTGACAACTGCTACATTATCAAAGGGCTATGAAAGCAGGTTTTTTTTTTAAATTAGTGTTTACAATAGTAATTGATGCACTGGAAGAGTGTACTCAGTTTTTCTGCATTTTCATGCATGCACTAGAACTTGTCAATCTGATGCCTCCTGTGATGTGACATTAATCATCCTATTGAATTCTCTTTAGAAAACCAATCATTGAAACAACAGGAAGAGGATATTAGCTCTCTGCTTTTTTGTGTTGAAATTTTGCCATTCAAAGCCATCACTAAATAATAACAAAAATACAGATATAGTTGAACTTTTCAGCATGAAGCACCTTCCTTCTAGCAAAGCCTTAAAGAATATTTCATTGCAACTTAACTTTTGAGGATATTGAGCTTGTGATTACATGTTTTTGAGGATATACTGCAGAAGCATAAAGTTCTTGAATTCTAAAACTGATAAACTCATTTATGGAGAAGCTGTGAAACTTTAATTGCTTTGATTCACAAATTGTTGTTAAGTTTAAAAGCTCAGAGGTAAGCTAGAAACAGTCCTATTAGAAGCATAAAACATACTGGTGCATTTACACTGCTGCAACATTGCATTTTTAAACTTCTGTAGCAAAACAAGCCTGCAGACAAAACTAAACTAAGACAGTTTAAAATGGATAAACGCCAATATATCCCTCTGGTGGTTTTTTTTTTTTAACAGAGTGACTTCTTAAGACCCATAAACATCACGCTTGATCTGAAATTATACTGATTATGAGGATATGTTCTTATGCTGGCTTCACTCCAGAAGGTGAAATTCTTTTGTACACACAAAAACAACTAGCAAATGAATACTCCTTAGCAGTCAGTCGCACTACAGCTCTTGCTAGTGAGTAAAGCACTGATTCAAATTATCAGAAACAGGCAACCAGCTTGAAACACTGGTCAGACTTCAACAGCACTTATAAGCAGA